AAAAGTATAAATGAGAGAATTTCGGGTTCAAGAGTCCAGATTATTAATATCCCCACTCCTGTATCTATGTTTGAAAAATATGTTATACACACATAATTTTGAAACATTATAAAAATGCACAAAAAGTAAACTTCAATGCCCATGGTCTAACTCACAATAATGCGGCTATGAAGGATCAAAATTTCACATGTAAAGTTATACTCTCGCTGGGAATAAAGTTAATCTTATATATTTTTTTAAATCTAATTGACATTTCATTTATTAGGGTTCAAACAAACTCGTTAATATTACTACATTATTATAAAGTAATATTTACGGTCCTTTATTAAGGAAGTTTTTGACTCCGTTTGCGTGGTAAAGTTACTCTGAGTAGCGTTTCCAAAACGATTTTTTATTCATTCACATCACAACACCAGCCCTTTTACGTCCCCACTGCAGGGGCTCAGGCCTTTCTTATGGATGGTTAAGGAGGATGGGCCATGACCCTCCACGCTGGCCCAATGCGGGTTGGAGGGTATTAACGACTGCAAATGCAGCCGGGACCAACAGCTTAACGTGCCTTCCGAAGCACGGAGTAGCTCGAGACAATATTTTTTTGGTCACCCATCCCGTGACCGACCCTTGCGAAAGTTGCTTAACGACAACGATCGCGGGCCGCGGCGCTTATCCACTACGCCACCGAGCTACTTATTATTACATATTTATTATTATATATATACTTATTTATTCATTATATCGTGTAAAATGCCTGAAATAAAGTTTAATGATTTTATCTTTGACAATGACGAACTTCCGTACCGTATCTCAAGTCCAATGTGTTTAGTGGGTTACACGTGTGAGCGTAACTGACATAAACGCAGGCCTACTTAGGTATGTATAATATTAGTATGGAATAATTTACTAGATAGTTACCGAAATAAATAGACTAAGAAGAATATGAATCACGATTGCTTGGTCAACTTTTAAACACAGCTGTTAAAATTAAAAGTTTAAACTGTTAATATATAATGGATATGTCGTAGCCAACTGGGTAAAAGATTTATCCAATTAGGCGGCTAGCCCTATAATATAATGGCGCCATTTAATTTTACGGCTAAACGTCGATCAGCTCAGTAACCATCTACAGTGCGGTTTTCAAACCCTAGAGATCTGGTTTACTGTCAAAATCACTGTTCGAAACATAATTAATAATTTTATAAATAACAAAATATCTGCGATAATTGAATAAAATTATTGTTCAACTTCGAATATACTACAAGAAAAAGCTATATGTACAAGTATTTATTTATTTAAGGTACATCATCAGCTATACTATATGTTATTAACCGACTAATGTCCAATATGTTACATTACTTAATCTCTAAAAACTTTACAGCTATTTATTTAGCTGATTTGAAATACAGATGGAAAGAAAAACACAAATCTATCTTTTGAACCATGGTGTAGCTTGAGATAATAAGTGTTTTGGTTACCCATCCCGTGTACCAACCCTGGCAAAAGTGCTTAACAACAACGATCGCGGGCCACGGTGCTTATCCACTTCGCCAACGAGCTACTCAACTGAATAGCAAAGTTCTTACTAAATTTTATTTGAAAACTTAACCTTGATCAAAACACTGCGATGTAGAATTATAGGTACTTGTGTTTTCTTTAATATGATTTGAAGTTTAATATTATTGAAAATAATTATTTGAAATTTTATTTTATGTTATGAATTATTTTCTCAAATATATATTTTATCACAATATTAAGAAATCAAATTGTAAATAATGGTTGCCATAAAAATTATCACTCCCATTTTAATCCCTTTAAGTGCTAGTTTTCGGGATGATAAATAACCTATTACTATCAAATACCAATTTTTCATCGATATAGGTCCAAAAGCAAAGAAGTTTCGTACACACGTTTTCACATCCTTTTTGACCCCTTTTGAGATGGAATTTCCAAAAATCCGTTCTTAGTACACCTCTACATAATAAGGCGAATATACCCTCTAAATTGGGTACGATCAAATTAGGCATATAATGGAAAATTCAAACACATTTAGTTAAATTCTTGAGTTCGATCTATATCTTTTCCAATCTAGATTGCCATTAAAGCACACTAAATAAAAAATGCAACACATGAGAGCCAAGTTGGAAGCAGACTGGTCTCTAATTGAAAAATCATTAGCACTTCAACTTGGGAATTGGTTTCTTTGAAAATTTCATGAGCATATTAGATACTTTGGTCGTGAAAGTTCTTTATACTGAAACGTTAGAACAAAGAATAAGTAGATATCATATCGATATTCATATGATATCTACTGAGCAAAACAATGACGCAGTGGTATGGTAAACGCGTTTAAAATGCTATGCGAAGGTCTATGGCATCTATCGCCAAGGCGGACCAAAAACTTCTTCCATACTTCGGGAACATATTAAGCCGTTGGTCCGGGCTGAATCTGCAGTTGTCAGATGATGCATGTGGATTCCATCTACGCCACTCAGCAGTGGGGATGAGGTATTGAAAAACCAAATCGATCGTGAAATAATGTAGGGTAACTGCTTTTTTATACTTACAGTGTAATTAATTATGCTTTTATTTAACATGTAAATACACTTATTTTATATTTGGCTAATGTCGATTGGTACACGAATAAGGCACCTTTCTTAGAATCAATGGAGGCTTTCCAATGAAATAGATTTTGGAGGCGCGATAGCAGTTTCCTACGATCTTCACTACACTATACTATTATCATCCTTTATATTTTCTAGTTCGAGATAGCAGTAAGGAGTGCTGAAAAATTGTCACAACGCTTTGGCACTTCTTACAGTGTCGGTATAGCAGCAAATGTTTTGTGTAAGTTTTAATTTAATCTTACGTAGTTCCACTGTTTCGTGTTTGAAGTTTTTAGGAAGGCATTTGTATATTTATACCTGGATGATCGAGCTTTGCTTTATTGTTTTTTTTGTAAACGATACCTAACTGGCTCGATTTATCGCCCTAGAAACCTCTTGTATATTAAATTTCGCGAAAATTATTTGAGTCGTTTACGAGATTCAGATTATGTTTGTATGTAAGCTATCTATCAATCTATAATAGTAGGGGGAACCTGTCAGATTATAAACGTTTCACAGTACTTTCTTCGATTTTAAATAACTTGTAACTTCTTAATTTTTTTTGTAGTTGTGTTTTTAATTTTTTTATAATTTAGTTTTCTGTAAATACAATGTAATCCTACTCAGTCAGTATCTGCATGACCTATTGTGCATCGCCCACGCACAAATTCATATGCATAAATGGTAAAAAAATGGCAACAACAGTAATCGAAACAACCACCGTCTTTGCGGTTCTTGATACACGGCTGGTCTTGCAAATACTGATTTCTTGATTTAGTATCAAAGTTGCTAGACATCGTAGGTTCACTGTAAATTTTTTTTTTCAGATCCAATGAGTGGTACCAGTTTCGATTGGGTCAAGAACTACACTAACACCAGAATATCTTACTTAATTGAACTCAGGGACATGGGAGAATTTGGTTTCCTTCTTCCAGCTTCACAGATTATACCCAACAACTTAGAAGTGATGGACGGCCTAATAGAAATGGACAAAACTACGAAATTGCTGGGCTATTACACTACAGCAGATGCATCAAAGATATTTTACTCACTTAGTGTAGTAATATTTGGATTAATGGCTATATTAGTTGTTTAAGAGATAGATAAAATATTTATGATATTTTTATTAAACTCTGCCTATATGTGAACTTCAAAGAATTATCAGAACAAAACCTTGGATAGATGAAGCTAAGACCTATGAAGCAATCAATGTCTCAAAAATTCTGTTTATTTTAATAAAAAATAATAACTCATTAAATAAAAAAATAGTGCAATTCATTCGTTTTATTTGGGAACCGACAATTACTTTGAATTTATTACCAATACAGGGTAAGGTTATCGCTATTTTAAATAGCTATAATTGTTCAAATATGATAAGGACAATAGTGGTACATCATTTTTTGTGAATCTCATATAAAACGTGTTATGTAATTTTTTTACATTATTATGAAAAATAAAAATTGCAAGAGATAGACTCCAATGTACACTAGAAATTATCATATAATCTATATTGTAAACTATGCAGCTATTAAACGAGGTAAATCAAAGACAAACACAAATATGATTGGTGCAAATAATTTTATAAATAGTTTATCAGTAAAATAAAATATGCATACAAACTCCCACTTCAACAGCAATATTCTATTAATTTCGATGTTGTAGTTTCTGATTAAGTATAATTTTGGGATTAATTTTTAAATTTATTGTAATTAGTTTTAATGTAATCTAATTTTATTCTTTATTTTATGCATGAAAAATATATTATACTATTATGCAACCTTTATAATTGTCATGATAAGGCCACAAGGATTTGGTTTACAATCTAGTTTATAAATTACTTGAATTGCTGTAAATTAAACTCAATTTGGTTGTGAACTGTTTTGTGTCCTAACTTAATAAATAAATAAAAAAATAAAAAAAATAAACACATCGAGTGTGGATCGTGCGATTCAACAATGCTGCGATTTAAGACATGCATCATATACTTAGATCAACAATATATCGTTGAACGAAGAACATTTATCATGAGACGTTTGATACAAATCGACACTGCACTCTCGAATTAAAAAATGTCGCATGCGTCGCATGTGACGGGGAGCGTCCACTCCAAATCGCAGCTTGGATCCTATCTGACGGCCACATCATACCCTCCTATTATTACCACGTTTCAAAGTTCGTCAGATATCGCCTTGGATACCTCAATGTGGATCCGCCATGGCGGCACCTATAGATCTATGGTGACAAATTGTTGGCGGTATTATATTGGAAACCTCTTTTTATAAATCTGTTTTTTTTTTAAACGAGTTTTTGAGATTACTCGCTATTAGAGTTACTGTTGAGAAACCCATATAATTATATATATTTTTTTTACAAAAATGCTTATTTTATCACATATTTGTAATTATCTACACTGTTAACAGCTCTGTAAATCGATAACACTAATTATCTGATAATATCAGGTATTTGGATAAAATATTAAAGAATAGTTTTTGTTCTTATAAATTGGTGTGCCGATCAGTAACTATGATTATAAAAATATTACTATTAATTACAATAATAGCAGTTAATAAAGCAGAATATGTGAATTATAGAAATCACAAATTATACAGAGTGACTCCGTCCTCTGATAAAGAAGTGCAAGCTTTACTTGATATAAAAAACAACAATGATTTTTTGTTTTGGCTCGAAGGAGTGAAAGTGGGATTAGAAAACAGGATTGATGTGGCTCAGGAGAAACAGGAATTATTTGAAAAGTACCTGTCTGATGCTAGTATAAAAGCGGAACTCGTCGTGGATGACGTTCAAAGGTACTGAAATTTAAATTTGTCTCTTTTCCTTAACATTATAACTTAATTACGAATAACTAGAAATGAATTGTTGCTTACAAATATCTTGGCAATTTAAGAAACCGACAGTCAGAAAATAATGAAAGTAATAAAGAAACATTTCTTTAGTCTTATAGATAATCAAGTCAAACGACCACTTGTAAGAAACACAAATGAATACGTTTGGGATTACTATCAAACGTTAGATGAAATCTATGAATGGATGGATAGTTTCGCAGCAGCTCATTCAACGGTAGCATCGATTATAAATATAGGATATACCGCTGAAGAACGACCTATTAAGGGTATGGTTATAGATTACAAAAAGATTGGCGATCCTTATATCGGTGTAATTGAAGGAGGTCTTCATGCAAGAGAATGGATATCACCAGCTACTTGCACTTGGATTATAAAGGAATTTTTGACGAGTAATGACCCTGGAGTTCGGTCTATGGCTGAGGATGTTGTTTGGTACATATTCCCAGTAACGAATCCCGATGGCTACGTCTATTCTTTTACTGATGTAAGTACTGATTAGCTTGCCATTTCAGATTAGCATACACAATAACTGTATATTGTGGTTAAAAATATTAATATTACTTAACAAATTTCTTTAGGCGTAATTGAAAAATATAAAGTTTAAAAAACTTTTTCAAATAGAACTTTGTGATACTTTTTACTAGTATTAAGTAGATGAAAATCGTTGAATTCCATTTATTTCAGAAAAAAATCTGATAAGGGAGGAATGGATAAAAATAATAAAAAGGATCCACATAAAAATAATGACTTCGTTTTAAATGATTTTTAAGCTTTCTCGTTTTTTTATTTTAGAATCGGATGTGGAGAAAAAATAGGAATCCAGCAATGAAGACATCATGCGCCCAATGGAATCTACCAGACGATATGAGCGTTGGCGTTGATTTGAACAGAAACTTCGATTTTCTCTGGATGAGTAGGTTATGTTATTTTTAAATCTAATTACTGTTAATTAGAAAGAACTACATATTTTTAAATAATCAAGTTGTTTTAAAACTTGTGTTAAATCAAGATACTTGATGCTGAATTCAATTATGGTTACAAATATACAATTTTTATGTTTGAGGCATAGGTAAATTCAAATTGAAAACAAGAAATAAAGTATCGCCATCTCTGAGGTCCCGGGTTCGATTCCCGGTCGGGTCAATGTAGAAAATAAACTTTTCTATATTGACTCGGGTCTGGGTGTTGTGGTACCTTCGTTGTCTCAGATACTCCATAATACGGGGGCTTTAGCTACTCATCTTGGAATCTGAGCAATGTATGTGATGTTGTTAAATATTTATTTATTTATTTTACTACTGTACTAATATTTTTTTATCTTGTTAATTGCTATAACAAATATGCAACGTATATTTCCAGCTGTAGGAGCGTCATCAAATCCTTGTGCCATTACTTATGCTGGTCCTGCGGCCTTTTCTGAACAAGAATCACTTGCTTTGGCAAATTTGATAAATAATTTGAGCAAACAAGGCTCCTTATTGTACTATCTCAGCTATCATTCGTTTACACAATTGTTATTGATACCGTACAGCCATGTACAAGGCAAAGATGTTTTAGAAGCAGATAACTATGCAGATTTGGTACGTATTTAATATATATAAATCTACCGTACAATTAATCTTAAAATGGAATCGAGTAGTGGAACAAAAGATTTGTATGGACATATTTAACAAATGAAAAATATTTATCTATTTACCTATATCATCACGCCGTATCCCTTGCGGGGTTACTCAAGAGGATAGAGTACCAGAAGGCACTTTTCTTATATATTTTGATAGATTATTTATAACTTGAATGTGGTTGATAGTAATGAAGTTATAATTAATATATTACGCTTATGGCAGGAACAGATATATTAAGAATCTATGATGTATTATTTACAGTTTGAAATAGGCATTAAAGGGATGGATAAATTGACAGCAAGACATAACACTACTTATCGTGTTGGAACTTCCGCTGATATTTTATGTAAGTTCTCAACGAGTTTTCAATTTTCTTTCTTTTACTTCACGAACTATTAGTTATAATATACACCTTTATTATTAATATATTATTATATGTAATATAAGGTGTAATATTATTGTATGTCAGGACTTCGTGAGGTGGATTAGTAACAACATTTACATAATTGTAATACCTACAATCGTTTAAATTATGGTCCAGCTGATTAATTTTTCGTGAAGTCAGTTTTGCTCCCATAGTAAATGTTGTTTCAGTACATTTAACTAATCAACTCCATGAATTCCTGGCATATAATAGTATTACACTTTTTTTATATACACATATTACGAAATAAATTCTGCTCGCCTGACTGTTTGAACAATATATACTCAAAAACTACAGAAAACAATAAATTTAGGAATTCAATTCTCGAAGAAAATATTTTGCACGACTGATGTGACTGACACATATAAACATTATGTTGGTATTTTTGTTTTTCTTTGTGGCGTAGAATTCATTCATTACTGTTTGGTATAAATTTAATAAATCAAATCTTATTAGAGTACTCGAAAATCCACTATCCCCAAGTTACTGAGATAATGTGATTGGAGATTCTATTTTACTTTAATAAGATTGTTATCAACATAGAAAATCTATAATATATAAAGCTTAATTACCACTCACTGACTGACTGACTCACTCCATGCTTTTTTCGGGTAGTTAAAGTAGGAAAATGACATTTTCATGTATGGAGAGTGATAATATTTTTTTAAAATGAGTTGAAATGGCATATCGGTACAGCCAAAAAACAAAATGGCGGCGAGATAATTTTTTTAGTTTCTACAAGTATACACTCTACGATTACGATATTCAAAATGGTCGTAGATGTGGCTAAAAAAATGACACTGAAAAAGAGGTTTGATTAAAAAAACAAAATGGCGGCCGAGATATTTCACCTGGAAAATTGGCATTTTTCGACCTCTGTTCGGGCGATCGTCAATTCTTTTGTGGTGGGTTTGGAGGGGGGATTTTTACGCTGGCGACTCGGAAATATAGTCGATTTTCACGTACGGGGAGTTTTCATTTGCGCGTCAACATGGCGGCGGCGGGGGCGGCCATTTTGTTTCGGCAATGAAAAATCGCCATTTTCCAGTGAGATTTTCTCCAAGATGGCGGCGTCGGACGGGTTCGCGTTCTATGGGGCGGTCGTGGGGCTCGGTAGGATCTTTCTAATTGGTACTAATTTCTACCATTTTCGTGGTAGTTTAGGAGATTTTGGGAGAAAAGTGAAATTTCGAAATACGCACTTTTCGCGGAAAACAGACTCGGTGCGGTGTGGCGCCGGGGGAGCCCTATGACTTTTGGTAGTTTTCGTTTCTGCGAGCTGACAACCCTGGGCTCCACGGTAGAAAACGTGTTTTTCGACATGCCCTCATAACCCGAATTGTTTGGGAACCTGGGTGGCCAGCGGAGAAAATCTGTGAATGAGGTCCCTTGCCTGATATAGTCGTGACTATGGGAAAATTATGAAACTCGGGAAAATCAATATGGCGGCGCCGGCAGCGGCCATTTTGTGATTTTTTCACTTTTTCGAAAAATTCAAACGCACTTTTAGCACACATGGCAACATCGGAGCTCTTCGCCTGGTATGGACCGGTCGTGAGTCTCCGCCGGCTCTTTCGAATGAGGTGAAACTTTTCCCCGATTTTAGGGTAATTTCGGAGATTTACCCCAAAAAGGTGAAAAGTAGAAGGAGCCGTTTGGGAATTTCAAAAATGCTTTTCCTCGACGGAGGGCACTCTCCGAAATGACATTTGGCCATTTTCATCGTCGTCACCTGGCAACCCTGGTGGTTGCGGCGATTTGAAAAATTTCGCCCATTTTTTACTTTGTCGACTCTAGCGCAGTCGGTATTGCCACTAGGAAAATGGTAAAAACTGCATCGGATGCGCTATCGAGTTGGCCACACCGGTACGGAGCCGGATTTTCAAAATTCAAGATGGCGGCCAAACCAGCGGCCATTTTATCCGAAAAATTGGGTATCGTCACCACGTCGAGCCGATTTTGACGCACTTGGCGACATTTGTCAGAGTACTTCCGGGGAAACATTTTTTAGGCAAGTAACTAAAGTGTTGCCAGGTGAAAAAAAATCTCGAAAATTTTTGATACTTTATGAGATTTTTGAGGAAACAATTTTTGTCGAATTTTTTAACTTTTTTGATGAAAATATTTTAATTTTAACTTTTCAAGATACCCGATGGAAAATATAGAACGATCGACTGGCAACACTGAGAGCAAACGACGTTTTAAATTCAACCTTGATTTTGACCGACTTGGCAACCCCGCAGGTATTTGGCATGTATGGAGCGATTATGTATCTCTATAGACTCTTTCATATGGTGGGAAAAAATTACCCGATTTTAGGGTAGTTTTTGAGATTTACCCCAAAAACTGTAAATGTCAAAGGAACAATTTTAGAACTTGAAAATTGGTATCCGTCGATGGAGGGCGCATCCCGAAATCACATTTGACTGTTTTTATCGCCTACACCTGGCAACCCCGGCAGCTACGGCGGTTTGAAAGTTCAATGCCCACTATTCACGTTTCGGACTCTAGCGCAGTCATTATCGCCGCTAGGAAAATAATAGAAACTGCGTTGGATGCGCTAATAGGTGTGCTACACCGGTATAGGGTTGAAATTTCAAAATTCAAGATGGCGGCTTAAACTGCGACCATTTTATCTACAAAATTGATCTATTTTTCACTACTTTTACTTTATAGAACTGATTTTTGCGCATATGATAACATTTTTCAGATTACTTAAAAAAAAACATAAGCTGAAGTGTTGCCAGATGAAAAAAAACTGAAAATTTTTTGATACCGAGGTTTTTGAGAAACTTTCATGTATGTCATTTATGAAAAATATGAAAACATTTCTTTACAATGATTTTACGGTTTAACAAAAATTTTACTGTTGCATTTATAACATAATTGTTGGAATAATTTGAGTGATCGACTAGCAACACTGATAGTAGTCACCATATAAATTTCAGAATGATTCTGACCGAGTTGGCGACTCGGGAACTTTATAGCATATATAGACCGTTTGTGTACTCTTTACCCAATCTTTACGTGGTGAGAAAAAAATTCCAATATTTTACCAGAAAAATAAAGCGAGCGAGACATTGTCATTCGGTTAGATTAGAACTGTGACTAAAACAAAAAGCGAGCGAAGCGAGCCATAAAGGGTGACCATTTAGAGAGATTTGATTAATTGGTAAGGTTAGAACTGTGACTAAAATAAAATGCGAGCGAAGCGAGCCCTAAAGAACACCATCAATAGAAATCTGATCAATCAGTTAGATTAGAACTGTGAATAAAACAAAAGGCGAGCGAAGCGAGCCATAATAAATGGAGACCTGATCAATCGTTTAAGGGACTGTGACCAAAATAAAGAGCGAGCAAAGCGAGCCAAAATGCGAGATCATAAAAGAGACCTGATCAATCGGTTATGTTAGCACTGTGACTAAAACAAAATGCGAGCGAAGCGAGCCATAAAGAGTAACCATTAAGAGAGATTTGGTTAATTGGTAAGGTTAGAACTGTAACTAAAATAAAATGCGAGCGAAGCGAGCCTTAAAGAACACCATCAATAGAGGCCTGATCAATCAGTTAGATTAGAACTGTCAATAAAACAAAAAGCGAGCGAAGCGAGCCATAAGGAGTAACTGTTAAGAGATATTTGGTTAATTGGTAGGGTTAGAACTATGACTAAATAAAATGCGAGCGAAGCGAGCCATAAAGGACACCATCAATAGAGACCTGGTCAATTGGTTAGATTAGAACTGCGAAAAAACAAAAAGTAAAAGCGAGCGAAGCGAGCCATAATAAATGGAGACCTGGTCAATCGGTTTAGGAACTGTGACCAAATTCACTTATAAGTGTGCTATTTAGGTCTGAATCTGAAATTTTAAAATTCAGATGGCGGCTAAGACAGCTTCCATTTTATCTAGAAAATGTATTATTTTGGCGTTATTGATAACATTTTTCAGATTACTTACAGAAAAAAAAATTATTCAGTTGAAGGATGATAAAAAACGTTTTTTTTTTGATACTGTGATTTTTAGGAAATTTTCTATTGAATAAGAATACTTTATACTTTAAGGCGATGTATACAACATTTATTTTAAGTTTTCTTACGTTTTTCAACTGAATATTTCATTTTATATTGCGTGTAAACTGGCAATCTTTTTTTTATGTATGATGTTTTGCGTAATTAAAGATCTTTTATTTGAAGATAGAACTTACTAACTTTTTCTAGGCAATTTCAAACTGTAAACATAACAAGAGGCGGACTTAAAACCCACCGCTCCGATCCCACAAGCGACTCGTTTATGCTCAAGAACTTTACAATAAGTAAAGCAACAAAAACTTGTATAGGTTTATTATGACATATGGGTTAGGTTAGGTTAGTGTATCGAAAAACAACCAGAAACGAATCGCTTTTGTTGATGGTAACATTTGGTTTATAATGTTTAAAAGATGATCGTGACCATTTTAATTTCAATTTTGATTTCGATGGACTTGAAAATTCGGGATCTTTATAGCGTGTATATATGGACCATTTGTGTAGGTATCTTTACCCACACTTTCACATAGGTAGTATGGAGAAAAGAAAATCCAATTTTTGACACTATATCTAATACTTAAAGATATATTTTATAAGAATAAGAAACTATAAGTTATTTTGAGTTTTGCTTGCGACTGAATATTTCTTTTTCTGTTAAGCGTAAACTGGCAACCCTTTTTCTTTGATGATGGTGCTTAAACACCTTCATTGAAGACAGAACTTACTAACTTTTTGTAGGCGATTTCAAACTATAAAACAAACAACAAAAAAAAGCGAAAACTCAAATTCCAACGGAGGCGGACTTAAAACCCCATCGCCCGATTCCACAGCTACTCGTGACTCCCGGGCTGCTCGCAGCCCAGGGCAACCAAGCGAAAGCTTCTATTCTGAAACGAAG